GCTGCTCAGGGCCAGGCTGGGGCGGAGTGGGGGATGGCTGTGCTGCCCAGTTGGTGACTGCCCCCCCTTGTAGTCATTTCTGAGTATAACTGCCCCTACTATTACAACGGCAGTTTTGTCGATGGCGATAAACCTCATTTTACGAAGAATAACACCTTTTTTCGACAGAGTTCTGTCGAAAAAAAAAGGCACTATTGCATCCACACTGTGCTTTTTCAAAAGAGAGCATCTACACTCTCTTTCAAAAAGTGGCTTTCTTTTTCGACAGAACTGGTTGTAATCTAGATGCTCTTTTTTGACCAAGGCTGTGTCGAAAAAGGCATGCAGTCTAGACATACCCCTAGAGGCTAACAATATATATATATATATATATAGTAGATGGGGAAAGTTGCTATCTCAATTTTTATTAAGATCTCCAGTGACGTTTTGCATTATCAAGCCTTCTTTAGCCTATTCCACCTGGCAAAGATTTTTTTATCTCTGGCTGAATTTGGGATGGGAGATTCATGCGGCAATCCCTATTCTACCCTCCCATGACTAACAGAGATACTTAGTTGCTGAATTTGAATTAATTCAGGGACCAAGTTGCCAAATAAACGCGAGAACTGAGAACCTGTATTTTGGCTCTGGTGCAAGAGGGCACAGGAGCTATTTCCATCACAATCTGAAAACTTGCTCTGCCGATGATAGTTCTTATCACTGATGCAATTGCTGGACTATGACTGTACGTTGGCAATAGTAGCATGTGCCCCTAGCATCCTTGTTATTACCACATGCTAAATTTAGCAAGTGGGCAGCACGTGTCCCAGCTCTCCCAAGCAAGGACATGTTGGGCAAATGCAAAAATGGGGTTTGGTTTTCCTCTTTCTATCTCGCAGTCATTTGAATTAGAAAGCCCCAAGAAAACCAGCCGTCTCTTTATATCAGTTATAAAACCAGAAGACTTAGTCTCAGCATGTCATGTCAGCTTTAATTATCTGGGCAGTTGTAGCTGTATGTTATAAAAGTCAGGCAATTAGATGCATTCCTTAAAGCTGTGAAAAAAGATTGCTCACTATCAAGGAGAGGAAAACCAAAATCAAACACATAACTGTTAATTGCATGAAGCATTCAGCATTAAAAATTGGCCTGTAGATCATCTTGCAAAATATTATGAAAATGGAAATGATTAAATACATCAATCTATTCAGAACGTAGATGTCTGGGATAAAAGTGTGTTGTCTAAATGTGTTTGAAATGTCTCAAAAGACCACTGTGCAGCAGGAAGGCTGGAAGATTTGTGCTCCTTAGATGCAGTGAGGAAATGCCTGCATTGGTCAATAGCGTGCAGTGCTGTGACCAAGGGGGAAAATGGTTTCTGTTTGTCTAACTGGACTAGTCAGGTCTTCTCTCTGACCGTTGTGGCTAACTTGCAGTATCCTTTTGTGTTTTCATGATCCAGGGAAATTTAGAACCAGGGATATAAAATCTGGTTTAATTAGTGAACTGGTTACAAGTTAAGTTTAACCGGTTAACTGATTAAACAAGGGTGGGGGGAGTTCCAGCCTGCTGGGCTAGAGTAGCCCGCTATGGCCAGGCTGGAGCAGCCCCCACACCATGGACAGCCGCTCCAGCCCTGTGGGTGCAGGGTGGGACTCGGCAGTCTCACGGGTAGGGGGGAACCTAGAAGCAGGGGGGAGGGCTGCCGGCTTCAAGACTGACAGCTTCCCCCTTTCCCCCCTTTTCCGCTTCTGCCCAGAGTGAACCTGCCAACTTCCAGCCCGCATGGGCTCCAGGGCTGGAGCCGGCAGCCCTTCCCCATCCTTCTGCTGCTTCTGCGCAGCGCAAGCCTGCTGACCAGGAGCTGGCGGTGTTTGTCCCCTCCTCCCCAGCCGCCCTCCACCTGTAACGGGGCTGCGGGCTATTCCTGAGTATTGGTTAACCATTTACATCCCAAGAAGCTCTTGGTCCCCAGAGACATGCCAGCCATCTTGGTGAACGTAACTGACACTGCCAGTATGTAGTAATTGCAATAGGCAATGTTCCACTTTGTCCAGTTCCTACCTTGGGTAGAAAAACATGAACGCTCCCATAATACATCTGAATGCTTGTGCTGTACGTATGTGCACACTTGGCGGGGCACTGCTTTTGGACCCAATTGGGGATCATAAGTAACTGAGATGCTAACAAGCTCTCCTCAGTCTTACCTAGAAGCCCCTCTTCCTTACATAGTACAAACTAGTTATGTAGGTGGTTCTCCTCCTTCACACCCTTAAGTTCTCATTCTTAGGATTTGCGTGATTTTTCAAGTTGTTCTGCTTACTTTCTTCTAGGGTCCAGTTTGCACCTTGTAAGGAGCCCTGTGGCCAATAAAGTCGTACAGACTCGCTATAGGATAGTGAAGAAGAACGTGGCTTCACCTTCAGGTTCATTGCCATTCTTCAGCGTTCCTGTTCCCAGCTGGAAGACCAGGCGACTTGTGACATCCAGGTAATGTTTCTGGCTGTGCTCTTTGAACATCAACAACCGATGCATCCTCCTTAAGAAATCTAGCAACAGTCGGATGGGTTGCTTTATATTGCTATTACATGTTAATCACAGGGGTAACTTAATTTGTTGTTTGTTTAGCAGGTTCTATGTGCAATTTATTAACTTAAGTGTAACATTTTAATCGTATTCACTTTAACTTCAGTCAAACTGGTGAAGCTGCTTCATATTTATTGCCATCTTGAACAACTGTTTTCACATAGCAGTTAAATAACCTATAAGAGGCTTGAGAAAACGTGACGGTTCTCCGTAGAAAAGAGTGAAGGAAGTCTGCATCTTTTGGGGCTGTGACCAGTCTCTGGAAGATAATATTGGCGAGTGCCCTGCGTTATCAGTTCTTAAAACCTGCAGACCCACTGCTAGTCAATATATTGATTTAAAAAATGAAACTAGCCCTTCTGTCCTCCGCTTGCTGCAAACACTGAATCTGTGCACATTGAACAATATTGTTCAGACTTCTTCTGCCTGGAAGCACTTAAGCCAAACTCCTCTAGAGACCAGAGTCACACCTAACATGGAGATCAAATTACCCCATATTTGCTTATTTGTGTCCTATACTTTGTGCTGAAGTGTCTGGTGCTGGCAACTGTCAGAAACAGTTTAATGGACTGGACTAGATAGGTCTTGGGTCTGCTCTTGACTGGCAGTTCCTCTGTCTCTGCTTGATTTCAGAGCAGCATCATAATATTGAATGTATCAAGTTCTCATAATTGTCAAGGAGGCAGATGGGGTGGGCCAACTTTTTGACCTGAGGGCCACATCTGAGAAAGCAAATTGTATGGCAGCCATAAAAGCTGTTTGGCCTCACCTCCTCGTAGTGGGCCAAACGGGCATACCCAAGGACCCCAGACAATTGGGGAGCCTCGGAAAAATGTGCACCCCTGTGCTGCCACCAGCTCCGATTCCATGCCATAGCGTTCCAGTTGGGGAGAGGAATAGCAGGGGGCAAGCCCCAACTACATTGTGTGGCTGGAACCGTGGGCAGAGTAGGGAAGCCTCGGAATCTGCTTCCAGGCTGGAGTGATTGGCGGTTACTTTTTGTAACCATAAATGTTCTGTGAAGGGCCTGCACAAAATTGCCACTTCAGTGTCTCTGTCTCTTAATGTTTCTCTAACTGGGGCCTGAAAGAGGGTTGCACCCATCCAATTCTGTAACTGTCCTGATTTGATCAGTGGAGGTGGGGGGATTAGCATCCTGTAAGTGCTACTGAAATCACTTTGAGCCCTTGGAACGTGGGTGTTGTGTGGCGGTTTGCACAGTGTGTTGTCATGCTGTTTGCACAAAGCTTGATAGATGATTTAGGGGTGTAAAATCCTGTTTCATTGGCTAACTGGCTAAACATGATGCTTAACCAGTTAACTGATTGGGTGGGGTGCTCTGACCTGGCTTCAGACAGGGGCTGCTCCATGTGGACTGGAGTGTCCCTGTCTGTGGCGGGCCCTAAGGGGGCTGGAGTAACCCCCTGCCTGCAGCTGGTGGGGAGCTGCTACAGCCCCCTCTGGTGAACCAGAACTGGTAAGCATCAGCAATTAAGGATGATGCTTACCAGTTAATCTTTCAGGGTATGTCTACACTACCACCCTAGTTCGAACTAGGGTGGTTAATGTAGTCAACCGAAGTTGCGAATGAAGCCCAGGATTTAAATATCCCGGGCTTCATTTGTATCTTGCTGAGCGCTGCCATTTTTAAAGCCTTGGTAGTTCGGACTCCGTGCCCACGGCTACACGCGGCACGGAGTAGGTAGTTCGAATTAGGCTTTCTAATTCGAACTACCGTTACTCCTCGTGGAAAGCCTAATTCGAACTACCTACTCCGTGCCGCGTGTAGCCGTGGGCACGGAGTCCGAACTACTGGGGCTTTAAAAATGGCGGCGCCCGGCAAGATGCAAATGAAGCCCAGGATATTTAAATCCTGGGCTTCATTCGCAACTTCGGTTGACTACATTAACCACCCTAGTTCGAACTAGGGTGGTAGTGTAGACATACCCTCAGATCCCTAGTATGAATATGACTCGAGTCCAATTCAGGATTAGGAGAGGTAGGTAACGCTAAAGAAAGAGGAAGGTTACTTGTATTTGTACCAAAGTCTGCAGGGGGCAAAAAGCCTCATCTCTCTGGTAAGATCAGTCTTGTAAAATGTGAATTGGGGAAGTTGAAGATCAGTGGGGCAGAATGAGGTGTAGAATGGAAAGCTCAACTCAGCTGTAAAGATGGAAAGAGAAGCCCCACCTCGATTTGATTCTGCTCAGGTTCTTATACTCGCCTCGTTACTATGCAATCTGTACGTCTAATTGATTGAGTACCTGACTTAGAGGAGGGGACTTGTGGTTTAAAATGGGGAGGTGAAGGGGCTACAGGCAGTGATAGAGACCATAGAGTCATACAATCTATCTTACTCACCAGAACAGTCATTTCATACTGAGGTAGTCTGATTGTTCTGTTGTGATTGGATGAGAGCTTCCACTTGTAGGATCATCTTACATTTATCAGTCTTTGACTTCATTCAGTTGTGTGGTTTAGATCTGTTCCATACAGATCTCAATAAAATGCCATCAGCAAATTAAAACAATGATATTTTAAAGAAGTGATAAAATCTCTTATGTGGTCTTGCTGTTACTTTCGTTGTGTACGATCAGTCATATGGCCTGCCAGGTGAAAGGACTTGGCAAATGCTTTTTCTTTAGTTCTGACATTTGTCTTACACTCCATTGTTCATAACATTCTTCTGGATATGGAACAAAAAATGATCTATTTACACTGTGAGCTGCTGTCTCCACTGTAGGAGAAGGGAAAACCCCATGTTCGGGTTGTTAAAAACTGCACTGAATGAAGTACTGGAGATATCTTTAGCAGGGAGCCATCCTACACTGTTTGGAGGAAGAATGGTGTTATGGATTAAGTGAATGGATCTCATCCATCTCTAGTTGTGATGGTCCAGTGATCTCTTTTTAGCCCCAGTTAGTCTTGCCCCATTCTTAAAAATTGGCTTTTTGAAGAACTAATTCAGAACCACTGAAAAATTTGCCTGTTGCTGCCTTGTTTGCTGGTGATGATGCATGCAGTGATGACTGATATATTTCTCTGCATGGAATGTTCTCTCTCTGCCCCACACGTATGTTTTGGCTTAGTGGATTGTAAGCCCTTTGCATAGGGATGTAAAATTTCGATTAATTGGTTAATCGAATAGTTGATGCAAATTGCTACACTTCAAAGGTGACAGTGCTGCGAGGAGCACTGGGCCAGCGGGGGATGCAAGCAGTCCTCTGCTGGCCCCATGCTCACTGCGGCGTTTCAAAGCGGCAGCGCTGCATGGAGCCCGGGGTCAGCAAGGGAGTCCATATGGCGCTGCCACTTTGAAACGCCATGTGCAGTCAGGGCCAGCTGGGGACCCCCTCCTCTTGCTCTTTCTGATAGAGGCAAGGGGCAGGGGAAGAGACTAGTTGACTAGTGTGTTGAGTGTCGACTAGTCGTTCACATTCCTACCTTTGGGACAGGGACCATGTGCTTGTACAACTTCTAGGTGAAGAAGTAAAATCCTGTTTATTGGTCAACCAATTGAATCAGTTAACTGGTTAAACATTATATTTAAGGGAGGGCGTAGCAGCCTCTGACCACAGCCGGCTCTGCGTGGCTGGAACCACTAAGCATCACCCATTAATTTTTCACATCCCTATTCCTAGGTCAGTGGAGTCCCGATACTGACTCGGACCATGGAGTGCTACTGTAACATATTAAGAACTTTTAAATACTAATACAGCCGCTGGTGGGAATGAGCCCATCTTGAGGCATTGGGGTCTCAGGTATGTCTGACTGCTGCTGCATACCTGCAAGTGGGGGCCAGAAGGTGCTTTTGCTAAGATAATGCCCAGCTGTGTGTGCCGGTGGCTGGATTTAGCACGTGCGCAGGGCCCTCCTTCACATGAATTTGCAGCTTGTTTGTTGAATGGCTAAGCAGTGGTGATTTAGTAACCTTTTAGTTCTGCCTTTTGCTATGTTACTGAGAACTGTAAACATGTTTTTATATCCATTGGGCACTGAGCCACAGGGCTGTAAAGCATAGTCTTAAATGCAGCACTGGGTGTACCTGGCTGTTGCCCTTGTAGTATGTGGGGATAGGGAAGTTTCAGCTGTCAAAATCAGATTGTTCTGGACCTGCACTGGATGGGAAAACTCTCTTCAGTTTGCTGTAATCCCTTTGATTTATACAGCGCTTTAATGGACTTCAGTTGGGGCTGCGTCTCTGCTCTCCCCCTCCCCTGTATGCTTTGCGAAGCCTGACTCTGCTGAGTATCGCTGCGACTCTGCAAGGGGAACCACCCTGCAGTTTGCAGCATGGGCTGGGGGCCATGGCATTCGCTCCACTGCAGGCAAACCCCAGTCAGCAGCTGTCCAGAGACAGAAGACAAATGGGTCTCTCGGGATTGTGAGCGGGGGTGGGGTGTGCTGCTGCTCGTCCCCAGGCACCCGGTGCTAATTCCTCCGTGATTGGTTGCTTTCTCCCCTTATTGCTAGATTGCATTAAACTTTGCCCTGCCGCTGACTTTTCTGCAGGCGATAGATGGGAGTATATTTTAAATTAATTTTACTGCACTTTTTGTAATATTTTTGTTTTAAATAGATTTATAAGCAACTTGGGGGCTATTCCTACAAATTTATGAAGATAATTTCCACTCTCTTGATAAGGTTAAATTTACACCTGCTATTTCCATATTAATTCACATTGCTAAGTGGATCTAATTTTCTTCCGTTCTTCTATCTAGTGAGCATGGCCTTTCCTAATGCAATTTCCCCCTCACTAAATCACTGTGATCAGGAGTCATGATCGAGTTAAATTAACTTAAATTAATTTACTTAATAAGAGCTCCAGATCATTGTGAATGAGATTAAGATTTATTGATTCTCCTTCTCACTCCTCCCCCTCATCTTTCTGTTGTGCAGGGGTG